ATCCCTTACCCTTTCTTTGAACTATTCATACTTCAACAGTGCTGTCTTATATGACAGCCATTAGCCATATGTGGCTACAAGCACTTGTCGTTAATCTGAATTAAGGTGTGTTGTGTTGTAAGTGGAAACATGGACTTTTGAGACATAGTATGAAAAAAGTATAAAATGTGTCAATAATTTTATACTGATTTTACATTGAAAAGATAATATTTTGGATATATTGAGTTAAATAGAATATATCATTAAAGTTTTTTTTTGTTTCTTTCTACCTTTTTAATGTGGCTACATTAAAATTACACATGTGGCTTGAATTTGTGGCTCATGATATATTTTTATTAGACAACAATCTTTCAAAATCCTTACCCAGTAAATTTAACCAATAAGGCAAAAGACTTGTACACTGAAAACTACAAAATGCTGCTGAGAAATTAAGGAAGACATAAATAAGTGAAAAGACATGCTATGTTCATGGATTGGAAGACTTAATATCATTAACATGAAAATACGAATTAAAGTTATATACAGATTCACTGCAATCCCTATCAAAATCTCAATATCATTTTTTGCTGAACTAAAAAGATCCTGAAACTGGTATGGAATCTCAGTAAGCCCTGAATAGCCAAAACAATCTTGAAAAAAAAAAAAAAGAGAACAAAGTTGGAAGTCTCAAACTTCCTGATTTCAAAAGTTTTTACAAAGCTACAATAATTTAAACAATGTGGTACTGGCATAAAGACAGACATATAGACCAATGGAGTGAAATAGCCAAAAAAAAGAAGAAAAAAAAAAACTCTCATATATACGGTCAACTGATCTTCAAACTTTCTAATATCAAAAGTTTTTACAAAGGTACAATAATTCAAACAATGTGGTACTGGCATAAAGACAGACATATAGACCAGTGGAGTGATATAGCCAAAAAAAAGAAAAAAAACCTCTCATATATGCGGTCAACTGATCTTCAACAGGGGTGCCAAGACCATCCAATGGGAAAAGGACAGTCTCTTCAACAAATGGTGCTAGGAAGACTAGATAACTACATGTAAAAGAATGAAGCTGGGCATTTACCTTATACAATACACAAAAATTAACTCAAAGTATATCGAATACCTAAATGTAAGTTGTATAGCTAAAACTATAAAGCTCTTAAAAGAAACTATAGAGGAAAAGCTTCATGACACTGGATTTGGCAATGATTTCTTGGATATGACATCAAAAGCACAAGCACAAACAATAAAAGTAAAAATAGATAAACTGGACTACATCAAAATTTAAAATGTCAGTGCATCAAAGAACACAATCAACAGAGTGAAAAAGGAAACCTACAGAATGGAAGAAAATATTTGCAAATCATATATCTGATAGGTTGATATTCAGAATATGTAAAGAACTCCTACAACTCAACAACCACAACAACAGAAACCTTATTTAAAAATAGAGGACTTGAATAGACCTTTCTTCAAAGAGGGTATACAAATGACCAACAAGCACATGAAAAGATGCTCAATATCACTAATTATTAAGGAAAGGCCATCAAAACTACAATGAGATATCACTCCTTACCCACTAGGATGGCTATTACCTAAAAAACAGAAAAAGTATCAGTGGGGATTTGGAGAAATTGGAACCCCTGGGCACTGTTGGTGGAAATATGAAACGGTGCAGCCACTATGGAAAACAGTATGACAGTTCCTCAAAAAATTAAACATAGAATTACCATAAGATCCAGCAATACCACTTCTGGATAAACATATATATCCAAAAGAATTGAAACCAGGGTCCTGAAGAGATCTTTGTACATCCACGTTCATAGCAACATTTATTTCCAGGAGCCAAAAGGTGGCGCAACCCAAATGTCCACTGATGGATTAATGGATAAATCAATAAAATTCATATCCATACAATAGAATATTATTCAGTCTTAAAAGGAAGGGAATTCTAATACATACAACCTGGATGAGCTTTGAAAACATTCTGCTAAATGCAATAAGTCAGTCACAGAAAGATAAATCCTCGGCCGGGCGCGGTGGCTCATGCCTGTAATCCCAGCACTTTGGGAGGCCGAGGCGGGTGGATCACGAGGTCAGGAGATCGAGACCATCCTGGCTAACATGGTGAAAACCCGTATTTACTAAAAATACAAAAAATTAGCCGGGCATGGTGGCGGGCGCCTGTAGTCCCAGCTACTCAGGAGACTGAGGCAGGAGAATGGTGTGAACCCGGGAGGAGGAGCTTGCAATGAGCCGAGATTGCACCACTGCACTCCAGCCTGGATGACACAGCAAGACTCCATCTCAAAAAAAAAAAAAAAAAAAAAAGACAAATGCTCTATTATTTCACTTATGTGATGTATCTAGAGTAGTCAAACTAATTGAAACAAAGTAGCAGAGTGGTTGCCAGGGTCTGGATGGAGATTGAAAGGGGAGTTTAATGAGAATCAAGTTTCAGTTTTGCAAGATGATAAAGTCCTGAAGATGGGTTGCACAATAATGTGCATATAGTTAACACTACTGAACTGTACATTTAAAAATGGTTACAATGATAAATTTTGTTACATATATTTTATGTTACATGTATTTTACCACAATTAAATATTTTTTAAAAATCCTTCCCCAGGTATCACTCCCCCTCCTCCCTGCTCCTGTGTGAATTAACAACTCCCTCCTTTGCACCTCTACATTATCTTGCGTATACCACCATTATGGCTCTTATCACACTTTTGGTAATTATGTGTTTGACAGGATAAGGGTTACTGTCCCATTTGCCCCCATCCTGGGACAGGTGAATACTCATTCACTCCTGGGGTCCTGACCAGAAGCTAAGAAAATATACTAGGGTCTTTGGCAAGACAGAGAAAAGAGGCAGTGACCCCGGTTGCATAATAGGCTAAAGGGGACCGTCATTATTAGCAAGAGTATATCTTGTATCTTGCAGATGTTTCACTCTGAGGCTGGACCTGGAGGGACCATTTTTCTTCAACAATCCTTTTATAGGCAGGCTCTGAAAAACCGAAATAACACTTCTTTCCTCCCTCAACACACAGAAACATCTTCTCCCTTATGAGGACAGCCAGCTGAAACGATTGGCCATACCTGGTCTGACCCACTGGAGGGAAGCAAGGAAGATGTTCATTCAAGATGGATTCAAGTTAGAGTAGCTGACCTGATAAACAAGGTTCGGGGTTGCGGGGTGAGGGGTGCAATAAAGAACTATTTTGCTGCTTCCCCTGGACTCTTTGTAAGTAAGTTTGATGCCTAATTAAATTTTTTTTTTCTGATAATGGACTGTAACTTTCTGACCTTCCAAGGTGATAGTCAAGAGGTTACATTTGTTTGATCCATCTTTGCTCTTAGATGGGAGCTCCTTTAGGGGCGGGACCATACCTCATTCATCCTTGGATCCCCTGTGCCCACTAGTCCTGGCAAATAGCAGATGCCCAATAAATGTCAAATAAATGATTGAATGGTTAGAACGAGGGTCTTTACAGCATTGAGCCTTTCCAATAACCTGGAGAGAGGCTTTTGGCCGGGCAACTAGTCTACCACAGAGAGAAAGGACAGTCTGAACTAGAGAGCCACAGGGAGTACGAAGGTCTGCTGGGTATGGGGAGCAGAGGGAGTATGAGAAGAAAAAGTGATTAATTACATAGCCCAGGCTGAGCAGGCTGATGAAATTCGCACCCTCCAGCTTCATGTTCCATTGTCTCACTGGTCATTATATAGCGCCGACATTTATCTGGTCTCCAGGCAAATTCTATAATTTCAGCTCCATCTGAAGCAACACAGTAACACCGACTCAGTGGCCTGGATTCCACAAGTGCCACATACCTTGCTTCAGCTTAAATCGGGCATTGTTTTGTCTGGCTGCTGCGACTGGCTCAGATCTGCTAACAATAAGATGCTTATACACGGCCCTTTCATGCAGTCAGTATTTAATTTTTTTTCCCTCTCTTGAAATCCTGAAAATGATTCCTAACAACGGTTAATCTAAAAATCAGCAGGTTTTGGTCAACATAATGGCGCCCCTTCTAACTCACATTCATGGAATATGCAAGCTGGAAGTAAGAGTAGAAACTAGTTCTGCTCAGGTAAGGAAATCTGTGCCCAGAGAGTTGGGCTGGGTTCCAGCCAGTTAAAACTAGAACTCAGAGCTGCGGTCCTGAGCCCTTTTCCTTCTGCCGCCTGCCCGCAAGTGTGGTCACACCTGCTTCAGACACTTCCAGCTCCACCCTCCCTCCATTTTCTGTGCAACTAGGGTCCTCTCTGGAGAGTTCGTAAACCATCAGCTTTAGGAGAGAAGTGGGCAGACACAAATCTTTCACAGGTTAATTTTCCTTGGAACGTTCTGGGTGATTTTTTGTAAAGCCCGATTCTCAATGGTGTTGATTTCAAGGTAGTGTTCCTCACTGGGAGCTAAGGAGACGGTGCAGAAGTGCGCTGATTAGCTAGAATTGACCATAAACAGAGTGGCGCGGCTGATGGGCCGAGCGGGTTGGCAGGGCACCGATGGCAGCGAACTGGCCTAAATCATCTGTGCATCACCTAACAAGCACCAACTGAGCACTTACTGTGTGTCTGGGTCATCCACAGCTGCCTAATTCAGAACCAGCAGCTGCCCTCCAACCCTCCCCTGGCCTGAGGAGCCCTCCTAACTGGCAGACTCAGGGACTTCTGATTCTCATCGTCGGCCTGGCCTTAACTAGTGTCGCGACTCCAAGCAAGTATTTAAAATTCTCCAACCCAGGTGGCCTGAGGCTTGAGAAGAAATAAAAGGCTTCTCAAAGGGATGATAGTTTCAGGAAGTTTTTTTGTTTTGTTTTGTTTTGTTTTTTTGTCAGGGGGAGGGACTGGAAAAATACCATAAAAGGCATTTTGGAGGTCACACACACACAAAAGCAGAAGCGCTGTGAGCCGCCCTGCAGGCTCCCTGTCCGGGGAGCTACCTCCCACCCGCCCCCGGGCGGACACGGCCAACCCCAGCCTAATGGGCTCCCCAGTTCGGCCCAGAAGAGCCCGGCCGCGGAGGCCGGGGGGCGCCTTTCTCTTTAAGAGCCGCACGGGCGCTCCTGATTGGCTGTAGCTATGCAGGGTTTTCTTCCACACTCCCTCGGAGCGCTCCCTCCCGCGTCACCGGTCCAGCTCCGTTTCCACAGCACCCCTCCCCGGCCGCGCGCCCTTCCCGCCCCGCGCGCGCCTGCTCTTTCTCGCCGCGGAGTTCAGCCCGGGCAGCCGTATGGGGGATACGCCAGCAACAGATGCCGGCCGCCAAGATCTGCATTCCTAGGCCACGCTAAGACCCTGGGGAAGAGTGCAGGAGTCCGGGAGAAGGGCTGGAAGGAGGGGACAGGACGTGCGGAGAATTCCCCCCTAAAAGGCAGAAGCCCCCGCCCCCACCCTCGATCTCCGCTCGGGCCGTGCGCCTGCCTGCCTGCTGCTGCTGCGGGCGCCCACCTCGCCCAGCCATGCCAGGCCCGGCCACCGACGCGGGGAAGATCCCCTTCTGCGACGCCAAGGAAGAAATCCGTGCCGGGCTCGAAAGCTCGGAGGGCGGCGGCGGCCCGGAGAGGCCAGGCGCGCGCGGGCAGCGGCAGAACATCGTCTGGAGGAACGTCGTCCTGATGAGCCTGCTCCACTTGGGGGCCGTGTACTCCCTGGTGCTCATCCCCAAAGCCAAGCCGCTCACTCTGCTCTGGGGTAAGTCCCGCCGGCGCCCCCTGCGCCCCGGGCTCAGTGGCCAGGCCGCGCTGGGGCGCGCGAGGTCGCCGCTGGCCCCTCGGCTGCGGTAGGTGCGCAGCGACCCCCGGTCCCTCCTCGCCTCCCGCTGCGCGCCCCGGGCCCCCTTGGCATCCAGTTCTCCGTCCCTTGGGACGGGCAGGTGTTTTTGTTCCGGTATTTTCAACTTCCGCGCCCCCCTACCCCGCCGCGGTCTGCGTAAGGAAGCGCGTTTGCCGGCTTCCCTATGGAGAGCCGAGGGGACCCGGAGTCCTGCGGCGCCACAGCTGGCGCAGAGGCGCGCGAAAGGAGAGGCTGGGCACAGGCTGAATCGGTTCTCAGTGAGAGAGGACGGGCGGGTGGTTGTTTAACCCGTGCGGTCCATGGGTCTCTCCTATCCCCGTCTCCCTCCCCCATCACCTCCGCGGGCCACGGACCTTGGGGGCTGAGATGAGGACAAGAAAGGGAGTTGGACCAGGGAGGAGAGACCCGGCACAGGATAGAATCTTGGTTTACGCGCACCAGATGGAAGATACCGGTTGCCCTCTTGCCTCTCCAAGGCCCCTGTCCCTGCTCCCACCGCAATCTTCTATGCCCATTTGCAGTTCTTCGGAAGTTTCTCAGTGAGCAAACCGAGCCCATGGCGAGAGCGGTCTGACCCTAGCACGAAGCTCCGACTGTGGCTGTGCAGAGCCTTCTCCAAACCCTGTTACCATCTGGCCAGTGCGGGTCTGTTCCTCACCTGTGGCTCTCCTGGTACCCGCCTTCCGTACACCCCCACTCCTGCCAGTAGGGAAGGGAGCCCAGGCACTGACCACTATTCCCCTTCCCCTAGGCTCCAGGGGCTCCGTGCCCACCCTGCACGACCCCAGTCGTTGATCTTTGAACCACTTCGCAGCCGCCCTGGCCGCAATAACTGGTTTTGGCCTCCTTTACTGAAGCGGCAGTAGCCAGGACAAAAGGCACAGGCCTTGATATGCTGAGTGAGAATTTGACGAGGTAATTCAAGATGCCCTTCCAGCTCCCGTTTCCCTGATCTCTAAGAAACACAACCTACTTTTATTTCCATAGGGGAAGAAGAAGGAAGAAAATAAGACCTCTTTCTACAAGGCTTTTTTGGCATGGTGCCAGCTGCAAATGCCTAGGTAGATAATGGGGCCACTATGGTTCCAAGCCTTCCTTTGAAACCCTGCAGTCCCTGCTCTTGGAAGCAAACCCATCCAGAAGTGGGTACCTCTTAGGGGGTGTGGCTCAGGGAGGGCACAGCAGAGTTGAGGGATGGTTAGAGAGGTAGGATCTTTCGAGATCCCTAAAGCCTTTAAAGTCTCCCCAAAGCTCTGGGAAATCTGCTGCTTTATCTTTCCTTCTCTCAGTGCACCTCCTCATTTCTGTGTCCTTTTTACCATCACCTTTATGTGTTGGTTTAATTCTTCAACTGACTAGACTATGAGGTTCTGCTGTTGCTTTCATGAACACTCCCACGCTGCCAACCAAAGCCCTTATTGCCCAGAGATCTCCAGCAAGCGCCCCCCCGCCCCCTCCCGCGCAGGGCTGGGCTTGGTCCTCAGAGCCCGGCGGCCTCTAGGGGATTGAGGCTTATCTTTAATAGCTGTGGTGTTCAGAGAGTGCTCAGGGAACAGTGAGCACTTAAAATATTATCTTACATGCCTAGGGCTCACAGGCTCCACTCCTTACAGCCTCTGAGCCCCAAGACCCTGGCATGGGTCCAGGAGCCATAAGGACAAGGCCCTTCTCTCCAAGTTTGCCAGGTCACCCCTTTCCAGACCGCACTCTGTGGTGAAGATAGTACCTTTGTTCTGAAAGACTGTGGCTTAGAGGACACCTCCGAGGCCCAGGTCTCCTCTAGCTTCCTTAGAGAAGTTAACAAACTGAAGGAATCCGGTTTCCCCTTTGTGATGCATGTCCCAAACCCCATCCCATACCTCCCTGGATAAATTCTGCCTTTGCTTCATCTGCTACTTCCTAAGTCTTTTTTTTTTTTTTTTTTTTTTGAGACAGACTCGCTCTGTTGCCCAGGCTGGAGTACAGTGATGCGATCTCGGCTCACTGCAAGCTCCCCCTCCTGGGTTCACGCCATTCTCCTACCTCAGCCTCCCAAGTAGCTGGGACTACAGGCGCCCGCCACCACGCCCGGCTAATTTTTTGTATTTTTAGTACAGACAGGGTTTCACCATGTTAGCCAGGATGGTCTTGATCTCCTGACCTCGTGATCCGCCCTCCTTGGCCTCCCAAACTGCTGGGATTAAGGGCGTGAGCCACTGCGCCCAGCCCCTAAGTCTTAATTCTCTCCCCACCTTCATTGCCTCCCTAAAAAAAAAGAAAAATAGCAGACAATGGTAGATATTAGAGTTTTAAGGTCCAAAATTGTGACTTAGAAACGTTCCAAACAATGGGTCTTATCTGATGAATAGCTACTGCTTCTGCTGCCTTTTTTTTTTTTTTTTTTTTTTTGGTGTGACAGGGTCTTGCTGGAGTGCAGTGGCACGATCATAGCTCACTGCAGTCTCAGTCTCCTGGGCTCAAGCAATGCTCCCACTGCAGCCTCTCAAGTAGCTGGGACTACAGATGTGCACCACCACACCTGGCTATTTTATTTTTCATTTCTTTTTGTAGCAATGGGGTCTCACCATGTTGCCCAGGCCGGTCTTGAATTCCTGGGCTCAAGCAGTCCTCCCAAAGTACTGGGATTACAGGCGTGAGCCACTGTACCCAGTCTCATGAATAGCTCTGAGGGAAGAAATGAGGGACAATCAGAGACCAGCTAAGATCAGCTGTGCTCATGGCTAGACTACATAGGGTAAGCAGAGGGACTAGGCAGACGACTGACTCAGGGTTATTTTCAGTGAAAGCCCTGGTGCCTTGATCCACAAATGTCCACCGCACTGAAGGCCCTTTTTCATCACTTCCCTACCAGTTATGTGTAGCATTAGAGCCAAGCTCATGCCCTAGTGGTCTGCTCATGCACTTTAAGGACCTGACTTGTAGAGGAAAAAGGTCAGCCTGTCCATTGCTTGCCACCCCCCACACCAGATGAGGTTGCGCTGGAAAGGGGAGGCCTCTATGCAGTGCACCCAGCAGGGGATGTGTTGGATGTGCAGTGTGTGGAGAGTAATTTGCGTGGTGGTAAAATGTCATCCGTGAAAGAGCCATCAAATTGTTAGTTCATCAAGTTGTTAGTTCTCCCTGGGGCTAGAGCATGTTGTTTTCCTTTTTTATCCTTTTCGTTTTATGAGTGGGCAGGCGGTCAGAACAGAATGCTCTTGGTGCCCCTAGGTCCTCAGCAATGAGTTCATGACTTTCCAGGACCGAAAGCAAACTCCAACTAGACGAAAAACCTGCATCTGAAGGCTTGAGCTCACAAAAATGCCTGCTTGAGAGTTTCTTGCCAAAGGGACAGTTAGTCAATGCCCTGAATCCCAAGATGGGTAGAGCAGGGAGTGATGCCTTGCATTTACTGTGTGGAGGTGTGAGTCCTGGCGCTGCTTCCCAGCGGAGCCTCCCCTGATGGCCTCCAGACATCTGGCTGATGCCTCCCAGAAACATCAGGGCCTTTTCTGTTTTTTCCCTAAATGTTATCCGAGTCCCCTAAATGTGTCCCATAGTGACATCATGACTATTTTCCTCATAACTTCAGTGACAGCACCAGGCATGCAAAGCAGTAATTTTCCCTGTTTCCTTTGATAGATCAGCCATCCTTCTATCCTATCTTGGGGCAAACGTGACTATTGTTAAGGCAGATATAGGGTTCTCTGGTGCCCTGCTGGATTCTTGGAGCATCTGCACCATCCTATGTGGGATTCAGTATATGCCAAGGAAGCTGAGAAGTGGTGGAGATTAACAAGGCAGTGTGGGGTGATGAGGTGGTCAGTAGAAGCTGGGGCTTGGAAGGCGCTGGTCCACCAGTCACATTCTGAAATGTGCCCAAAGATGAGCTGTCTTCCGTTGGGCATCAGGTAACCTGTATCTGGTCCTGATGTCTTCAGTGGGTTGTGCTTCTTTTCCATCAAGTCCCTCAGGTTGTTGAGGAGCCCCAAGAATGCATGGTCATGGACTTCTGTCTTGCCCCAAGGTTTTCTAGAGTAAGCAAGGCTCAGTAGACAGGCAGATCTGAATGTGAATCCCTGCTCTTCTACTTACTTACCAGGTGAATGGCCTTGGACAAATTTACATCTCTGAAGCAGTTTTCTCACCTTTAAAATGGATATGTTAATACTGTTTGTTCCTAAAGTTGTGAGAATCAAATTAGATGATGTGTGTAAATCACTGAGCACAGTGCCTGGCTCTTGGTTGGTGTTAATTATTCACTGTCATTATTATTGGTCCTAATACTGGCCCTTTTTCTTTAGCAGAAGAAAAAAAAAACTCTTCCGGAAGCACAATAAATTCCACAACGCTGGCACAGAACTTGGCTTCAGTGCCTCTCTTGCATAGAAAAAAGATAGATTTGGCCTTGGAAATAAGGGCTCTTTCTCAACGTTCCAAAGAGAGATGAACACAAATCCCTTCTGTACTTCCTCCCTCCTTCATGCCCTTCTCTTTCATTCCATCTTCCTCCTATTTTCCTCCAAAAGATCATTGTTTTGTAGCTGGGATCTTTTTGTTCAGCTGACAACTCAGCTGGTCTTTAGCATTTTCTTTGGGATTTTTGAGCACAGCCAGTTACAATTGCTACAGAAACAGGGCCACATCATTTCTCTGAATCTCTTAGAGTCTCAGTTTTGACTTGTTTTTCTCCTTCCCTCTTCCTTTGACTCATCATTTTAAAAAATCTTTAATGCTCAATTAAACTACTAAAAATCTAAGAAAAGTGAATGACTCTTCCTTTCAAACCCTGTAATTCCAAGCCCATTGTTGTTACAACTCTTGCATTTTTAACAAATGGGCAAGCATTAAGAGCCTTACCCAAGCCTGGATTGCAGCTAGACCGCAGAGAATAGAGTGTGCTTTTGCTAATAGTCCCAACAAGTATGAACATAGATTGAGGTTAACATTATTGACTCAATTTTAAAACAAACAAACTGATCAAGGTCACTGCAGACGGCACTGTGACCATGAAATGAGAAAGAGAGCTGCAGAGTAGAAACTGGTGCGAAGCCTGACATTGCTAAGTTCAACTTCAGACTCGTTTCTTTACAGTTTGTGAGCCTCAGTTTCCTCATCTGTAAAATGGATACAGTAATACTGAGTTGACAGTTATTTGAGAATTGGGGCATATGTATTTTCTTTGAGACAAGGTCTTGCTGTGTCACTTAGGTTGGAGGGCAGCGGTGCCATCATGGCTCACTGCAGTCTCAACCTCCTGGGTTCAAGTGATCCTCCCACCTCAGCCTCCCAAGTAGCCAGGGCTAGAAATGTGTGCCACTGCACCCAGCTTTTTTTGTTTTTTTTTTTTGTTTTTTTTTTTTTTGTAGAGATGGGGTCTCACTATGTTGCTAGTGCTGGTCTTGAACTCCTGGGCTCTAGCGATCCTCCTGCCTTGGCCTCCCAAAGTGCTGGGATTACAGGCATGAGCCACTGTGCCTGGATAGGGCATATGCTAAAGGCCCTGCTAAAGAGTAGACGCTCAATGCTATCTACTATTATTACCTCCCAAGGTAGGGGCCTGGTCATGAAACCTGCACTGGCTTACTGGTCTGTCTCAGACTTGGAGTACTTGTGACTCAAATGTAAGGCACAGCATTTTTTTTTTCGAGATGGAGTTTCGTTCTTGTTGCCCAGGCTGGAGTGCAAGTGCAATGGCATGATCTCAGCTCACTGTAACCTCTGCCTTCCGGATTCAAGCGATTCTCCTGCCTCAGCCTCCTCAGTAGCTGGGATTACAGGCATGCACCGCCATACCTGGCCAATTTTGTATTTTTAGTAGAGACAGGGTTTCTTCATGTGGGTCAGGCTGGTCTCAAACTCCTGACCTCAGGTGACTTGCACGCCT